AAAATTATATTAAAAATTTTCTTTATCAAACCTAAGGTCAATTTTTAATTTAAATTATACCTCTCAATCAAAAAATTGATTTTTTATACTTAGTTTTGAACTTATGTTAAAAAAATTTAGTGGCCGATTTTTTTTGAACACTACTGTATGTGCTTTAAAATATAAAAACATTTTTCATCTTTAAGTTCATTTTAGATAAAAATTTTTTAATATTTATCAAAAATATAACTTAATAATATAATATGGCCCAATTGTAGCCTAGGTCTCAAACCAGGAAATTCTGATATTCCTCTTTATGAAGCCTTAATTGTCTCAGGGTCTCAATCAAAGATTACCATTTATCTAATTACCTAATTTTTTAATCATAATACCCTAACTAAATAAAACATTTTTTTTCTGATCTTAATAAATTCTCTATAATTTTTTAAAAATTTTAATTTAATTGCGAAAAGTTTTTAAAAAAGTAATGTTAACTAATTTTATTGATAATAATATTTGTATAACACACCGACAATAAATGAAATTAACACCATTACTAACAACGTTTCTTTTCTTTCCTTTATTACCATCTCTTCTTCTTTTAATTTACTACTTTCATTATACTTTTTAATGTTTTTCTTACAACATAAAATATCATACTGTAATCTATGCAACCTACATAATAATAATTTTGAAGAGTGATATATTATTGGATTCAATTTTTCAGTCTTAATAGAACATTGATTAGAATCTGGTCCTTTATTTGACATGTTTTTATCATAATCTTCATAACTAGTTATTTTAAACGACGAACCTAATTCAATTACTTTTTTAAGTTTATCATTTTCTTGTAATTTTAAATAAAAATTAATCTTAATTTCTTCAAGAGCTTCTTTTTCTTTAAAATAATATTTATAATCCTTTTCTACTTTACAAATTTTAGAAAAAATAATGTCAACTATCTCAAATAAATTATCATCATAAGATAATAGGTTGTCTATTTCCATTTCAGATAAATTATTATATTTATATTTAAATTCATTTCCCATTTCTTTATTTAGAAAGCTAATAATGTTTTTATTCCTTGTTTCTATCTCACCTTTCATAAAATCATTAAAATATAAATCTAGATTAACCATATCTATTTCACATTCATTCTATTTAAAAAATAAATCACCCAAATGTCTTTTTAAAGAATCGGCTAATTCTTCATTTCTAGATTTTAAAATATTTTCACATTCTAATAATAATCCCGCCATATAATTATTAGAATCTATATCTTCTTCTATATCAACAGTATTTATTTCATAAATATTAGTGATTAATGATAAAGATATTTTGAAAATGTTCATTTTAAGGGTAAAAATTTGCACTATAAATTTTTTATAAATAAGGTTATTTTTTATTTAAATTTTATAAATCACACGAATCAATTAATATTTTCTTCTTTGTCATATTTTTTAAGTTAAAAACACCTTTTTTTATAATTTAATAAAAATATTTTGATTAAATATTATTTAGTCGTTTACTTTTATAAAAACAACTTTTATTTTTCTTTAGTAATTTT